TGTGTGTGTGTGTTTGGGGGAAAACATCCAAGACTGGCCCCCTCTATCACAAACTAACAAACTACTGACAATGGCTCTCTCTAGTCCATATGTCCCCAAACTTCTGTGGCCTACTGCCTCCTTTTAAATAAAACAAGCTCCTCAGAGTGCCTGGCCACTAAAACCCAGTGTCCTGTAGCCCCTAGGCCAAGACGAAGCGCAGGTATTTGTTTCTGCAGCCCTGTAGGATCTTGCCAGAGACCCCTGGGGGAGGTATTGCCCACTTTGGGAGACGCTGCTCCAGATGTGGCCTGTCAGGGTCCTCCTCTAGGTAATTCGGATGCATACACAAGTTTTAAGAACCACCGCTTTAATCCACAGGCAAATATTTACTATTGGAGTGGAGTCCAAGCCAGCTAACAGCTGAAGCTAGGTTTAGGTATCACCTCCTCCAGGAAGCCTTCCCAGGTCACTACTTCAAGCTACATTTTCTCCTTACTGCTTCCATCATTGGAATCCTGGTTACATAGCGGTTATAAATTGGGCTGAAAACCCCAAGGTTGGCAGTTCAAAACCACCAGCCACTCTGAGAGGAAAAGATGAGGATTTCCACTCCCGGGAACAGTTACCGTCTTGGAAACCCACAGAAGGATTTCTGTCCTATAGGGTGTGAGTCAGAACTGACTCAACGGCAGTGAGGGTGTCTGTTTTGGCTCCCACATCCACCACAGTTGCTGTTTTTTTTCTTAACCATTTTATTGTGGGCTCATACAACTTTTATCACAAAACATCCATCCATCCATTGTGTTAAGCTCATTTGTACACTTGTTGCCATCATCATTCTCAAAACATTTGCTTTCTATTTGAGCCCTTGGTATCAGCTCATTTTCTTCCTCCTTCCCTACCCTCCCTCCCTCCCGAACCTTTGATAATTTATAAATTATTAACACTGACCAATGTCTCCCTTCACCCACTTTTCTGTTGTCTGTCTCCCAGGGAGGAGGAGTATATGTAGATCATGGTGATCGGTTCCCCCTTTCTCCCCCATCTTCCCCTTCCCCTCCTGGTATTGCTACTCTCATTATTGGTCTATCTGTCCTGGATTCCCTGTGTTTCCAGCTCTTATCAGTACCTATGTACATGCTCTGGTCTAGTCGGATTTGTAAGGTAGAATTGAGATCATGATACTGGGGGGAGGAAACATTAAGGAACTAGAGGAAAGTTGTATGCTTCATCGGTGCTACACTGTACCCTGACTGGCTCGTCTCCTCCCCACGACCCTTCCATAAGGGGATGTCCAGTTGCCTACAGATGGGCTTTGGGTCTCCACTCTGCACTCCCCCTCCTTCACAATTATAGGACTTTTTGTTCTTTGATGCCTGATACCTGATCCTATCGACACCTCGTGATCACATAGGGTGGAGTGCTTCTTCCATGTGGGCTTTGTTGCTTCTCAGCTGGATGGCCGCTTGTTTACCTTCAAGCCTTTAAGACCCCAGACGCTATATCTTCTGGGGCACCATCAGCTTTCCTCACCACATTTGCTTATGCACCCACAACATAGGTTTTATCAACTGGTTTTGTCATAAAGGAGTTTCGTAAACTAGTCTGCCTTCCCCACAAACACCGAGTTCCCGGCTTGGGGCCTGGGACTCAGGTAGCACCCAGCGTACACTGAACTATGGCCTACCTATACTCCTTGGCTCTGCCTCAAGCCACCTTCTGGCCATTAGCATGTTTTAAGGTTCCAGGTGCTGGTGTGGGCTTAGTGTCCCCTCCCTCCTCCAGCAGCCTGTGTGCAGAGAGCTGCGAGGGCTGGGGGACTCACAAAGGCCTTGGTGTACTGGTTGAGCATGTAGTCCTCACTCAGGGCACGCTGGAAAGCTTCCACGGCGAAGTCTGGGGGCGCGAAGTCAGGGAAGCCCTGGCCCAGGTTCACAGTCCCATAGTCACTGGCCAATTTGGTGAGCTCCACCCTGGGTGACAAACAGAGTTGCCACTGGCCCATTACCCCCACCATGACCTGGACTTCTGCTGGCCCCCAGGGCAGGCCGAAGAAGCCACAGGTCCGGCTCTAGGAAAGCTGCTGGACAAGCAGCTTCTGCACCCCAGCCTGGAGATGGGCGTGAGATCAGGCTGTGCCCCCGGCCTGCAGCAGCACAAAGTCCCGGGGCTCGCGGGCTTTTTGACGGTGAGACACAGTAGGAATTAGTCTACCTATCACAGTCTTCATATTCTGCAGAGCAGAAACCCAGAGGCAGCACCCTTCTCAAAGCCAGCTACGGACTGCAGTGTTTCCGACCCTCTTCATCTGTGGAACCACTAGGTGAACTCCCCGGAGTGGATTCCCACCGGTGCACCTGTCAAACCCGAGTTTGAAACACTCTTATCAAAGAATCTCAACAGTCTTTGAGGACACCCTCTAATTTCTGGCTCATAGTGAGATCCATCAGGTCTCCCTTTGATGTCACCTCTGTCAGAAGTGCCATTTCCGGCTGCCCCCGCCTTTCTTCTTCTGGCCCTTCGTGGGGACCACCCTTCGGTTGAAGGGCTCCTATGTGGTGCTCAGGCAGCTGGGGGCGAGCTCCAGGAGTGGGTCTGCATTGCAGTCAGGAGTATGTCTGTCTAAAATCCGCCCCTTCCTCCCCAGAGCTCCAGCGTCTCTGCAGACACACGGAGTTGCTGAAGGATCTGCCCAGAGTCACGCAGCGGCTAATGGCGGCGCTGAAACTCAGCCTCGGGTGATGTGCGCTCCACAGTAGATGGACTGAGGGGTTTGGGGGAGCCAGCCACTTTCTAGGCTGAACCCCCAGGGTCTGGATCCTCAGACCCCTGCCCTGGCACCCTCATTTGTCCTGGCCTGAATGGCCCTCAACACCCCACCTGCATTCCTCCCAGGCCAGCTCCTGTCCTGCCTGTCTTTATATCAGATAAAGCCTCTCCCTACCCAGTCTCCCCCTCTGTACATTGGGGGCAAGGGTCTTGCAGGCTCCCACGACTCTGCTGGGTTGGTCTAAGTCAGAAGGAGGCCTGCCTCTCAATGGTTCCCTCCCTCTGCCCTGGCTGACCCTTCCAGTCTGCCTCAGAGAGAGGGCGCCGGGAGCCCTATGTGTGGAATAAACTGACCTCTGCAAAGCCCTTAGCGTGGCACCTGGGTCGCAGCACACGGTGAGCAACGGCAGTATTATATCGCTCCCAACCACCTCCTCCCCAGGACACTTCCAGGTAGATACCATTTTGCAGGTGCGAGCCGTGACCCCCTAACCTCAGTGCCACAGACAAATAGGGTGAAGCCTGAGTGTCCTGGGCGGCAGCTGCCCATCTCCCAGCCTACCCCTAGGTCCCACTGTCCTAGTGCACATTCAGGGGTTCCGCCCCTCCCCTGTTCCCAGGGGCCACCACATACACCCTAGGCTCAGCTTGCTCACCAGGGGTTCTTGTCAATTCCATCCAGCCTTCGGGCCTGCAGCTGCTTGGCCATGGCGCCCTAGAGACAGGGAGAGAGCACCGTGGTCTGTCCAGGGAAGGCGGGCCAGCCGACTGTTGGAGGCGGTGCTGAGTGACAGCCCCACCTCTCCGCCCTCCTGGGAGATCAGAGATCAGAGCTTCCAGATAGTGGGATTGGTCTTCACCCCACTCACTGCCTCCTCTACCTGCCCAGGCAGGCTCCTCTCCTTTTATTGGAGCACACTGTCCTGCCTGGAGCCGGAGGGCCCAGCCTCTCCTGGGAGAAACCCTCACTCAGCAGGGTTAACCTTTGACCGGGCAAGGGCTGGAAGATGAGGAGGAGAGACAGGAGGGGGCTGATCGAGGTGATTAGACTGCCCCCCTTCACAGGGGTCTTGCTGTGCACCTGGTCCTTGCTAAGTTTTCTCTGAATTCTTGGGAGCGTTCGTTCACAGGCAGTCATCAGCTCCCAGCTCATAGATGGGAAGATGAGGCAGTGTGTGTTGGGGGCGCAGGGAGTGTTCGTTCTGCATATACGCGGGTTCGGATCTGACTCGGGGGAGGGGGCATTCTCAGTCCTGGGAGGGCCTCAGGGGTCCTCACTTCCCCTCTGTACCTCCTGCTCTGGCATTCCCCCCAGGACAGCTTCCTGCTAGCTCCGAGGTGTGTAAAAGCTGGCTGGGGCTACGAGTCACCATGCTCAGTCCTAGGCCTGCCTCGGTTGGTGACATTGGACAGGGGATTATCTCCTACTGGTCTCAGTATCCCCATCAATATGGGCTCCGTGGACTCGTCATCTTCGGGCCCAGAAGGCTAGTAGGAGTGGGGCCAGGTGTTGAGCACTGGCTGTGGCTCACAGGGACCCCTCACGGGGGTCCTCCCTATGTTCCTGATTTCGCTCAGCCCCCCACAGCGTCCCCAGTAAGTCACAATAGTCCCCATCCAACCGATGAAGACACTGAGGCCTCAAGCAATGCAGGGACCTGGCCACGGTCAGCGTGAAGGCTGGCCAGGAGGCGGTAGCAGAGGAGCTCCCAGCCGTGGGGCGGGGCCCTGCCCTGGAGGGGGACCCAGGGACCATGTGTTTAGGTGTCCCTCTTCCCCCATAGCCTGGGTATCCTGTCAAGGAGCCTAGCATGGGGGCTTGGCACCTAGTGAGTCCACTGCCAGCACAGGTACCTGTCACCAGGCCTGGCACTCAGTACATGTCAAAACAGTTCAAAATAAAGGTGATCGCGGCCAGGGAAAATTACATTACAAGCACAATTCATGGTGGTTACCTGGTGTAGGTCAGTTAATGGATTTTTTCCCCCTTCTTTTCCAAAGAAACATTTGACTTTTATGATTTAAAAGTGCTGGAGAAAATCACACCATAGAAGAGTATTTCTTGATGTGATATATATTGATATCAGAAAAATAGGCTATACAATGGTAAAGCACAGTGTGATTCTGTTTGCTGGCGAAAACTAACCAACCTCAACTAATAAATCTTTGTACATATGCATACATGTTTTCTAGGAACATATATGTACAGGTGGAAAGTACAAAAGGAATTCTGTAGCAAAATGCTAACTAAGGTTTTTCTCTGAATGGTGGGACAATAGTTGATTCTAATATTGTTGGGTGGTTTTTTTGGTTGTTTTTTCACTAGCTTTCGAAATCTGTTGTACAGTGAACATCCCATGTTTGATCCATTCTAATGCCTCTTTTCATGTTGTGCTCTCTCTGAGTCCCGGTACATCTAGCAACGGGCAGCATGTGCTTAATCGGCATTTGGGGGTTCTTTTCTGGTCCATAAAAATCGCAGCACATCTTACACCCAATAGCGTCTTGGAGTTGCTTTGAATTGAGGATGCATCACATTAAAGGATGAGGTGAGGATGGCTCAGGGAGAGCAGCAAGGGGGGGAGTCCGAGGTGAGGAGGGCTGGAGGGAGCAGGAGAAGAGGGCTCTAGAGGGCTGGAGGGAGCAGTAGAGGGTGGAGAGTGAAAAACATAGAGGGAGAAGACTTGAGGCAGTGGATGAAGTTAAATGCGCTTAGGACGGGAATATAAATAAGGGCACCCCGGAAACTTAGGGTGCTCAGAGGAGTGACCTTCAAATGCATCAAAAAGTGCACAGATAAGTGAAGTGAAATGCCCTAGTGTTTAATGACTAACCGGCTGAATTTGGCTTCTGTAACTTTTCCTTCTGCTTGGCTAAGTCAGACCTCCCTGGTGGCAGTGACCAGTTTTGAAATTAACAGTGGCCAGGAACACCTCATCCTGACTGACGGCTGCAAACCTGGTAATCCCCCAAACCTCCTCACCTTGAGGAAGGGAATGTATCAATGATTGATCCCACCCCTGCTTGCGGTTGTATGCAGTATATGCTGAATGCTATGCTAGCTGGGACTGAGAGATATAAGTGGTAGCTGACTCCCGGTTGCTGGCTCTGAATAAAAGCTTCTCATTTAATTTATCCCATGTGGTTTTGACTGTCTCAGAAATAGGGTACCACAAAGAAACCGTGCTTGGTCAGGGCTTCTGTACCCAGCTAATGTTTACTGAGCAATTATATGTGCTGAGCCCGGGCTTCGGCATGAGGGATAAGGTGGGAAGCAGGGCCCAAGCAGATCCATGACCGCCCCATTAGAGGGAAGCACATGGGAGGCCCGCACCCCAGCTGCAGGAGGGGAGGGCTTCCGGAAAGAAGAGGCGACACAGAGTTTTGAAGCCAGGGCCAAACCATACCTCAGGAACCCCAGGTCATGCAGGTGGCAGAGGAGAGGAGAGGGGCACTTACAGTCTGATGCAAGCACCGGGTGAGCGAGGTAGCTCCGGCCTTCCTTCTGCAGAGGGGCCTCACCAGGGGCGCAAAGATGGCTGCCACCTTCCTGAACATGCCTCCCAGAGCCACCGGGCACTGCTGACTTGTCCAAGGGCAGCGGAGAAGGGAGGAGAGAGTCCCAGCCAGAAAATGATTCCAAGCCCAGGGCTTGGGCCCCTCGCACACAGCCTCAACAACAACAATGGCAACACTAGCTCCTGTTCATGGAGGTGTCCCCATGGGCCAGGGGCAGTACCATACACTTTGCTGCTGGGTTAGCCCTTTCAAACCTTGCATCAAATCAGTGATTCAAACACACACACACACACACACACACACACACACACACCAGCCAACCGTGACCTTTCTCAAGATGCACATCACTCGTATGGGAAACACAATCCTGATACGGATCGGCAGGGGTCGCTAACATCGAGAGCCAATCCAACACCATGTGGAAAAGATTCCCACTGAAGAACCGAGCGTGCGTCACAGCACACCTCTGGATCTGGCTACCGGTTTACCAGAAACACAAGGAACAGAAGGATGGATTTGATATAAACAGGATGACGTTTCACTCAGTTCTTGCTGAATTGGACTGTTCTTTCTATCCATCTGCCTGCCTGAAAATTCCATATTTGCTCCTCTGATACACGGCGATCTTAATTGTTAGTAGCATCAATAAATAACTAAGGAAATGTTTTCTCTGCAATCAAGACAGGTTATGGGAGGAAGAGAATTTAAACACAGATATACCATATACACTCATGTATGAGCCGAGTTTTCAGCACATTTTTTAATGCAGTTTTTGTGGTAAAATTAGGTGCCTCGGCTTGTGGGGGAAGGCCAGATGCTTACAAACATCCCTGAAGGCAACTGCTGCCAGACTATTGTCTTGCCCCACCACAGGGGTGGGCCTGCTCCCTGCTGCTGGGAATAATACATTATTTCTCCCTGAAGCTTGCGACCATTCGCTTGGTTCCTGTGGGTGGAGTTCACACCCTACCCTACCAATGATAATGGTCTCTATCAGTTGACCCAGGAACAGGTCAAACCGGCTCAGTGACATCCAAAGTTAGGCTGCCATCTTGAATCTAGGATCTGCCCATCTTGCCACATGCATACCCCCAATCCCTCCTTTTCCTATTGCATGGATACCCCTAGATCACCCCCTCCCATTACTGTATTACCTAAAGCACAACCTCTTCCTGTGACCTATGTCTTCACCTGTAATTAGGGGGCTTGCAGGTCCCCAGAGAATATAAAAGCCTTGGTTAGCATTAAATATCCCTCTCTCTCCACGTGGACCACCAAGCGGGGCTGGGTGAGCATGTTACCATGAATTGTATCTGACTCCATTTATTTCTATATTTCTCTTCTATCTCTCATGCTCTCGATAACTTTACTATAATCTTTACTTATTATCGCTGTACAATTGCACCTACCAGACCTGTAATGATGTGCTAGGGGCTGGCTTCTCCTGGCATCGGCTGATATTCGGGTGGGCTTATACTCAAGCATCTACTGGTAGTAAAAATGGTCTTCAGAAATGTCCTTTGTTTTGAAACAAAGTTTCAAAATCAAAACAAGACAACCACCAATACACCCAGGACTGCTGATGGTGAACAAGCAATGTCTAAAGAAAGATGCTGGGATAGAGGGAAAGTGGGTTGGAAAGAGGGAATCGATTACAAGGAACTATCTGTGACCTCCTCCCTGGGGGACGGACAACAGAAAAGTGGGTGAAGGGAGACGTTGGACAGTGCAAGATATGACAAAATAATAATTTATAAATTATCAAGGGCTCATGAGGGAGGGGGGAATGGGGAGGGAGGGGAAAAATGAGGACCTAATGCCGGGGGCTTAAGTGGAGAAGAAATGTTTTGAGAATGATGAGGGCAATGAATGTACAAATGCGCTTTACACTATTGATGTATATATGGATTGTGATGAGTTGTATGAGCCCCTAATAAAATGATTTAAAAAAAAAAGAAAGATCCTTGATACTATGTCTTATTACCAGCTCCAGACTCAATGTCTTCCATCAACATTGACATTTTTATGACATGTTCTGAAAAGTAAGGTGCCCTGGTTGTTGGGCTGCTAACCCCTAGGTCAGTGGTTCCAGCCCCGCAGCTGCTCTGTGGGACAAAGATGAGACTCGCTCCTCCCATGAGGACGGACAGGCTTTCAAACACTGTTATGGAGTTGCCCGGTCAAAATTCAACGGAAGACAGGGGGTGGGTTTGAGTTCTGAGAAGCACACATCACAAGCATTCGGATACGATGAGTGTCATTCCACCGACATCCATCCTCCTTGTGACCAAACAGCCGTGTTATCATTCATTTAGGTCGCAAACTTCTCTGTGTGAGAACACTTCGGTCGAGGTCAGCAGTGTCTTCCTGCATGTAGATACAACATGTTTCTTTTTCGGAGTCAATTGAGCTTTTGCCTTGCCTTGTAAGCTGAGTAAATGGACAAACCCTGTATGCTCCTATAGGCTGTCCTTAAAACTATCTGAAACTTGAAGGTCCTACTGCTTTCTCTGAAAAGGAGTGATGTGGGACTAGTCCTTGTCTGATTAGTAATCCTCCCCCTAAACGCACCTTTCCAAGGGCAACCCCTACACTGTGTTCACAGTACCACAGGAGGAGCCTCAAGGCCTGTAGGGACATTAGAGCGGGCCGCATTCACCCAGCCACGTCGGGAAAAGGCTGTAGCGTGAAGCAGTCTGACCTAGGTCAGGAATTGGCTACTTGAAACTCAGTTTATTTTCCTTTTTGATGTGTGCCATTTTTGCTTTGCACAGACTGGTAAATTGACATGTCTTGTTTCAGGTTTAAGTGTATGTGTTTTGTCTCAAACATCTATGAATAAGTTGTTAATTTTTAATGTCGCGAGGAGGTCTTCTTTTGTAAGCCTGTTATTGTGTACTGGGAGAAGCTCACAGAGCTGACCAGCAGTTTGGCATTGACAGTTCGTAGCCATTTTGTCTCCACCCATCCATCACAGTCTCTTCCATGCACCATCACTTGTCATCCGTCCCCACCCCCCCCCACCTTATTTCCTATTTCATCCCTCTACTTTCCTAACTACCTAGCAGGCAGTTTCTTAAGTTTGCTTAGTACCATATATACTCAAGTATAAACCGACCCGAATAACAGCCAAAGCACCTAATTTTACCACAAAAACTGCATAAAAATAATGCTGAAAAACTCAGCTTAGACACGAGTATGTTTAATACTTTTAATAGTACTTCAAGAGAATTAAATAGTTCTAAAATACCCTGGAATTAATAAAAGTTAGTTTGTTCTAACAAACGTTTTCATTTTTATAGTACACCCAAATTTTATTGTCCTGCTGCTATTGAGTTAATTCACAGTAACCATTTACGGAGTTTCTGAGACGGTAGACCTTTAATGGGGCAGACAGCCTCATCTTTGTCCTTCTGAGCAGCTGGTGGGTTTGAACCACCAAGCTTGTGATTAGCAGCCCAATGTCTAACCCATAGTACCCCCAGGGATCCTTACATTTTATAGTAGCTCTACTTAAAAATTAGTCCCACCCCTAATTTTTTGGTTTTTTTCCCCACCCCTAATTTTAACTAATTAATTACCATTCTTTATAATTTAAATTTTTATACTCTTATGTTTATGTCACAGGGGGAAAATATATTTAATCTGCTGGTAAGATATGTCCACTATTGTCACTTAAAAGTTACACAAAAGACTGAGCTTAAGAGGTATATTAAAATAACTTATTTAATATAATTGAGATGTTATCTCTCTGCAAAAGCTTAATAGGTTACTTTTTTCAAAATTAAAGTTTAAATGACTAATAAATGACTAGATTTTCATCAGATAGATAACATAATATGAAGTTCTCTTTCCTCCAGCATCTAACCTAACATTCAGCTACACACAGTGAATTCTTTCGAACCTAGCCATGCTCTTTCCCTGGATGCTGTCTCTCAGGACTGTTGTAATTGAACAGATTAGACAGGATTTATAACAAAACTCCCTGTTTAACCCTAATTCTTTTTTTTACAAATAAGTCATACATAAAACCAACCTCTTCCAGTTCTTTTTTTGTAAAGTATTTACTTATTTCTAATAGTCCTATTGGCTTTCTTCTAGTTCCTTTTACAAGAGGAGCTACATCATCACTAGCGCTGAACAATGCTAACAAGCACCTTTCCTCCTGTAGTAACTTCTGCTCGATAAGCCAAGTTAATTGTACTCCCAAATTTTACAAGCTGGTCTTGGAATAACCAGTGGCCATGTATGCACACTTCAGGTGCGGGCTTAAATCACTAGTTCTAAATTTCAAAAGCACAGGCGCCCTGGTGCAGTGGGTTATGCATTAGGTTATTAGCTGCAAGGTCAGCAGTTCGAAAGCAACAGCTGCTCTGCAGGAGAAAGATGAAGCTTTCTACTCTTAGGAAGAGTGAACAGTCTCGGAAACCGGCAGGAGCAGTTCTACCCTGTCCTATAGCGTCTCTACGAGTCGGAATTGACTCGTGGCATCAGGCCATATTATGTTAGGCCTAGCTAAGCCAAGTCCATGCCTTTAAATTTTTCCCTCCTCAATGTCCAGCCCTTTTTGAAAACCCTTGACAAAGACCAGCAGTCCGCTTCTGCAAAAGCAGTCAAGGAGTAGAGACGTGCTGGGTGCTATCAAGTTGTGACTAGGCCCTGACAATGAACCTGTCCTGCAGGTTACTTCAATGTGTGCTTCTTCAGAACTTGTAGTAGGGATCTGTCTCTTTGTGTGTGTGTATCCACACATATATACTGGGCACTTACATATGTGTGCACACATATATAAGTGCCACAATTGTGCCACTTTTCTAGCTAGTGCATTTGTTCTAAAAATGGCTAGTGTTTTTAATATAGATTTTTACAAGCTTTTGTAGAAACACTGTCCTAACAAACACTTTTATCCACAGCAAATGCCAGTCTTGTAACGGAAAACCTGTGAAAGAGCCCAGAATGAAATTATTTTAGATCCCGGACAGAACCTCCCAGTTCAGCACGGTTTATTCTATCACCAAAAATATGCTCCTCGTCGAGATAATAACTGATGTGCAGG